GCCTGCTGTTGCCTCGGTTGAAGCCGAACAACGCAGTGCGGCTGCCGAGAGACGAGGGGCTTTTTAAAACACTCTCCAGAGACGGGCTCTTCCTCATGAGGCCGGTAAGCTTCAAGTCCTCCCCGAAGCTGGACAACTTATCTGTGGATTTAAAGGAAAGGCAAGAAAAGGAAGGGGACACGGATGAACGCGACGAAAAACAAACCCAGAGCATATCCTGAAAATGTTTTCTTCCACTCAGGAAACAGAGGTTCTAAAACTGTTCCTCTGGGACTTTTACAAACTTGTCCCCTGTGAGTTGTTAGAGAGCATTTTATGACCTGGGTACCACAAGTACACAGTTTGTTTTTAAAGGAAAAAAAAATATCCTAACTTTTAACAAAACCAGCCAGAGCTGGGTGTTTGCAGATCAAAGGAATTTTTTATTCATTTTATGTTCACAGCGGATACGGCTCACAATAATATTTTGACCAAACTATTGTTTAATCACAAAAAAACAGGCAGCCCAGTGGTTAGCACTGTCCCTTCACTGAGCTGAAGTCTGCTGATCTGTTGGCATGTTCAACCTGCAGACCTCAATCCTCTCAGACTGAGGTCAAACTGGGACTTACACAGGGTTGCCCGTTAAATCCCCGTTCCAGCCTTCTCAACCGTGTCCTTGGGCAAGACACTTAGAGGGTCTGGTGGCGCTGGGGCACGACAGCCCCGCCTCTATCAGTGTGCCCCAGGACAGCTGTGGCTACAATGTAGCTTACCACCATCAGTGTGTGGATAGTTGAAGTGTAAAGCCCTTTGGAGTCCAKGACTTGATAAGGTGCTATATAAGTCCAACCTATTTACTATTTACCAAAACATGTTTCTGTTTAATTAAATGAATTTTAATCCCAATTGGACAGATTCATTTTTTACTGTTTCAACATGACAGACAGTTATCAAAATTTTTAAAAAACTAACAAACTGCACCACCTTTTCTGTTTGATTTAAACCTCCATTCTGAGCAGGGAAGGTGGGGGTTAGACAGTGGAAGTCAACGTCCCTTTGAACAGGAAGAGACGTCTGCAGGACCAGACTCAGGAAGGACGGATGGGGAGGTGAGAGGCAGGAAGCTACATATTGTCTAAAGCGCTGGTCTTTCCAACATTTTAGCTTCCAGACCRCAAAATAACAGTTGCAGAAACGTGTGACCCCAGATATTACTAGTTTACATCTGCAAGCTTTGCTAAAAATAAGCATACCAACATAAGCAAACCTAATAGCTATGTTGCTACTTTTGTTAATTTATTATGACGCCCACACACGACGGGTGGAGGGGGGTGTTTTTGTTTTGTACAGTTAAATTATTCTTTTTATTTTTTCAGTGACTTTTTGGTCAATCGTAGCTCAGAAATGGCACCAATCTGCCTGAAATTTAGTAGGAATGTAGATGTGTCCGGCCTACACTGGGCCAGCCAACAGTTTTACAACAGACCCCATATTCGAGGAGGGGGCTYCATCTGAAAAGGGGGGTGTCTGGACATACAAAAATGCTTCTAACTCAAAAACTATTCAACATTGAAGCTTTAGGTATTTTCTTTTCTGTATAGCTCTATTGAAGGGGCTTATCCATCAAGCCTACCAATGAGCACCCCCTACCCCCTACGGACCCTCACCCAAAACAATAAATCTGTCCTGGTGACTTCTGAGTTGTGGTGCATTTGTGCTTTGCATATGTGCTGGGGTCATATATGCTACCACTATGTGGTATCTAGTTATTGTTGGACATTATGGTTTCTTTTGCAATAGATATGGTGAAAATATTCCATTAACACTTTATTTGCATTTAACATGTCTGGAAATCATCTGAGGACCCTCATTTGATGTTTCATGACCCACAGAGGGATCCCAACCCCAACTTTTGAAACCACTAGCCTAAAGCAGTGATGCCCAATCCTGGGAGCCAATATAGTGATTTGAATAAATGAGGGATTAACAGGCTTCTGCAGAATATTATGACCTGCAGAGAAACATCTGAAACATGTAGGATAGTGATCCTCGAGGGGCAGGACTGGACACCGCTGATCTAAAGTCTTCAGAAACCAGGTCACCTCCGCGGGGTTGAAGCAGCAAGGACCACGTACCACGAGGAAGAGAGAACTCTCCGTGGTTGATTCTTTTTTCCAGCGTCTTTGATAGTGGCTTTATGCCTGTGTGCCTCTGAAAGAAACCAAAAGAAATGCACCTCATCAGGACATGAAACACTTTCCTCTCGCTCACAGCTCGAGGAGCAAACTGAGTGGGTGAATACCTGGATGGGGGAGACGGCAGCAGCTGGAGCCGTGCGTACAGGAATCCCACTCAGCGGGCTCCTGAGTGAGGAATGCATTTGAAGTGTGTGGGCGGGGCCATCTGCAACATCCAGCAACAGGTCAAAAAAAGTTACTGCATCATATCTTACATGAGCAAAGTGTTCTTGTAAGCACTCTGTGACATCCAAACACAGACCCCTGAAGAGTTTCATGCAAGGTGGGTCTGATCAGAGGTTTAAATAGAAAACAGCTGGAATAAAAGGAAATTTATATGCACCACCAATAAAAACGAATGAAGAGGGGAATGCATTAAACTTAAAACTGAGTATCAAAAAGGCGTGGCAGCATCAGAATTCAACAAGTCATCATACTTGTTTGTGCTTAACCTTTTGTGTACTTGATCTACAACCAACTCTAAAACTTGGGATTAGTTTAAGAAAAAACCCAGAATGCTTGTTTTGAGTGCACAGTTTAAAAGTCTGCCTCGCTGACTGTATAGGGGTTCATTAATGCCTCTTGTATGCTTGTAAAACAGCAGTCTTGTATAAAGTATCTCAAAGTGATACTTGAGTAAAAGTACAAGTATCTTGCCATAAAATTACTTTGGCAAAAGTTAAAGTCTTCTGTAAGAATATTACTTGAGAAAACTCTTAATGTCTGACATTTACTGTATTCAAAAGTAAATTTCTGACATAAATGTACTTAAGTATGAATAAAAGTAAAAGCATTGAGTAAAAGTGAGCAATTAGAATTTACAAAATGACATTTTTTGAGAGGTAACCTCCCCAAAAAACGTTTTTAAAGGGCTTTATAACATTAATAACTATACATTAATGTAGAATACACAGTAGATTTTTTTAACAATAAGTCGAAATGAAAACAAGTCAAAATGAAACAGTAGTAACAACTTCTTACATTTTTAAAATGTAAGGAGTTGAAGTAAAAACGTTGGCTGGAAAATAATTACTCAAGTAAAGTGAAGACAGCCAAAATTTCTACTTAAGTAAAGTAACAAAGTACTTTTACTTTAATATTTTACAACTCAGTAAAAAAAAAATCCAGGACTGTTGAACATCCGATCCTCCACCAGACAAACACTCCAGCTGATCTCCTCAGTTCTCCGATGTTTACAGATTAGTTAAAAGAGAAGCTTTAAGGTAGTGAACATGTTGCTGCCATCAAATTTAAAATGACCTTATTTTTTCTGAACAGCGGTACATTTTGTTAGTGTCAATGTTTAATGTTTTATTGTAAATAAATGTGATTTAATGACATAAAAAAACCTGAATAACGTTTTTAATTTACATTTTATGCAAAATACCAGCTTTATCAGAATTGGAACAGAAAAATCTCTAGTTGTGACAATAATGTAACTGAACAATTTAAATTTAAGGCAATAGATGATCATTTAAAATGCATTGTTGAAATGTATCTACACTTTCAACACACTTCATAAAGAATGTTGAGCTTATGTTACAAGAGAGACCATCAACATTGATGGACTAAAGCTTAAAAACACCTCATTACACCAAACACCCCTGCCCCTCGGGAAAACCCGACTCGGGTCAGCTCAGGTGAGACATTCAGTACACGGGAAGAGGTCTTTGTTGCAGAGAAAATGGTAAATATGTATTTATAATATGTGTGTGTGTGTGTGTGTGTGTGTACGCTGCTCACTCTGCTCAACAGTATCAAAGGACTTGATGAGGGATTTGACGGTAGCTCCTGGCTCGGAGCTGGCATCTCCGCTGGCGTCGGCGGCTGAGGTGGGGATCATGGAGATTCCACACCAGTGATTGTTGTTGTCGGAGTCTGGCACTCTCCCCTCATCACCTTGAGACCTGGCAGACACAAACAGGGTTGCTGGATACACACACATAAAAAAAAAATCACGACAATGATGGTGTGTGGCGGGGGATCAGTCAGGCAGCATGTGACATGGTGATTGGACTKTCCAAATCCCTGATTTTACATCTTATTTTATCTTTAAGAATGGTTAGAATCGAATGAGGCGATTGATCAACCTATTGATAACAACATGTGATGCATGTTTTAATTAAAATCTGATGATAAATGATAAGAAGTTAAAGATAAAAACTCATTTGGAAACAAAAATGAGAACAAAGTCATGTTTACATGTTAACTGCTTCTGGTGAGTGTTTGACAGATTCACACAAATACTACAGTGCTGAGTTGTTTCTTTATTCTTTTTACCTAATAAACAACAATTAGACACTTTGGATTTAATCCACATACAACAGAGAATAAATTAAAACAAACTCTGCACTGTTCATGAAAAGATTCATCACAAACATTTCATGTGTCCTCGTGTTAACTTGAGCACCAGTATCTGATTTTCTGGCAGAATAATATGGCTTTTAAAATGTGAAAGGTAAGTATAAGCTGATATTTTACAACAGCCTCTCCATTCGAGTGCACACTTTTTCAGATTTGGTTCAAAATATGAATTAAATACAGATAAAATACAAAGAAGGTTGATGGAGAAACATCAGAATCTCATCCGAGCTCTCGTGTTAGAATGCTTAGATTCAAGGTCTGTGTGGTTCTTTCTGTTCATGCAGGTAAAAGTTGAATTACCTAGAAGAAAATCATTAGTTGACAGCGTTGTGTTCAGGGAAAAAAAAAGTAAACACAGTTTTCTTGGTCGAAAATTTCAAATAAATTATCAATATTTTGGCTTGTGTTCACAAAAAAAAAAAAAAAAAACGTAGCCCTGAGGTTTGCTTTTTAAATTTTCTTAAGTCTAAAATTGGCAATATAATGTTAAAAATGCAAAATAAATATAATTTCTTTGTTTAAAAGTAGACAACAACATGAAACAGAAGTTAATACCTGTATGCTGACCGTTTTAAAGAGGTTTAGAAAAAAATGTGTTCAACATCGCCATCTCATGGACAAAAATAAAAATAACACTTTCTGTAGACTGWTGTAAACAGAGTCAACAAGATGAAATCAGAAAAAGTCAGATGATTATATCAGCACACAAATGTGTACCAACTACATTATTATGAATACAAATTGGTCTTTGTGTGTCGATCTTCCATTAATGAGTGGATTTTCTGATGCTTTTTTATTTTATTATTATTTTTAGGCCAAACGTTGAGAATCCTCAGCATGCAGTTCTTGTCATATTTCTTACAGCTTTAACTAAATTTGGTCCTAAAGTGGGTTACAAAAGTATTCACTCCTCCTGGTATCCCTCCCCTGCCCATTCTGCTATTTAAACTGATTTTAAGTTTCATCATAAGCTAAATGCTCCAGACTAATAATAATTCGGTGCAGTCTGCTGGCTTCTTTAGATTTATTGTTTTGTTTTTGGTTTTGTTTTGTTTTTTCAGGTTTTTTTCCAGGTTCAGTCTTGTTCAATGACAAATTCTATTCTATTCTATTCTATTGACCCTTAGAAATCCCTAATTTGAAGTTGAGTTTTCTCAGATTTTGTAAACATGCAAAATGGGGGAAAATCCTAAACCTAACACCTTTCATCATGCTGAGAACATTCCAACAGGGAAGCATGGTGGTGGCAGCTTCATGATGTGGGGATTTCTTTCCATCCAAGTTTTCCATCAAGGCAACAAAACAAAGAGGATACCAASAGGTGGATAACTTTGCAACCCATTGTTTTCTTAATCATCTCAATTTTCTGAAAGGCACAAAAAGTTTTCACACGTCATCGTCTGTAAATACTGTGACACGTCCACATCACAAGAGAATTACAGTACATACACACAGAATACATTCACTGAGAACCTAAAGTTGGGTCTTCTTATTAAAAATACTTCATATTACTAAGAAATACAGAGGAATAGTCATAAAAATTCCTTTGTGTACTGCATCCATCTTGTACAGTGACTTACAATAAAACAAGTTCAGTTTTTTTTTTACAAAACATAAGTGCATCAATAACACCGTCTTCACGTGATGCAGAGTTGACTCTTCACTAGTGGCCTTCGACTGCTGTCTTGGTATCAAAAGTGGCTCCAGTGCTTATTCTGTGAAGAAAACAGAAGATGTTACAACTTCAGTACACAGCTGTTACATGAAATGTCTTCAAAACAAAACAAACTTGCATTTTTACTTAACACCGTCATATTAAATCTAGTCCAGTCATTTTCTTTTCTTTGACTCTGCTTCCATGCACACCTCAGATTAACTCATACGGCTAAATCACCCTGTGATGAAGACGCTTTGGGAATGTATTTGTTTCAAATACCACAAAGCATGAGTTCAATCCGGTCATGCCAGTGCAGCCATCTCATCCTGCTTTTTAAATAAAAGTAGGAAGGTTATTTACCCGATTAACCAGCAGGTGGCACCAGATACATCTAAATGGGCTACAGGATTTTAGAGCCAGGAAAAGCAAACCAAAAAGTTTATTAAAGTCCTAAGGGTGCAGTCAGCCAGCGTATGGAAACAACAGATGGAGTCAGACAGGCTGAAGCAGCAACAAGAAGCCAAACATGAAGAAGGAGGTCAGASAGCAGCAGCACACAGGGCAGGGAGAGGCAGGCTGTCTGGGAACTCACCTGGACTTTACACAGGGACGCTTGTCAGACGGACATCTACAGAGACATCACAGGGGGCTGATGGAGGTGGGGAGCGAACACAGCTTATCTCGTGGGAAAGTCTGGTAGTTTAGACGTGGTCTAAGACCACCAGTTTAACATACTGTGGACCAAAGTACTTGGCCCCACCTGAACGTCATAGAAACATTGATGGATAAAGTTGTAACTTTAACAGCCTCCACTCTTCTTGGAAGGCTTTCCTCGATGTTTTTGTGTGTTTCTGTGCCCTTTCCTTCTGTACAACATTCATGAGGTCAGGTACTGATGTTGGACAAGAAGATCTGGATTGTGCTGACTGTCGCGATAAACAATAAATCAATTAAATCGCACAGAAAATTAAAATTAAGTTGATACTTTTCATTTGCCTGCTTGTTCGTTTTCTTTGTGTCTCCCTCTTTTCTACTCCTCAGCGTTGGGAGGAGTGAAGTCCAGCATCATGGTCATCAGACTCATGGTCTCTAACCTCTGCAGCATTAGAACCCAGCAGGTATTTAGCCAGAGGAGCGTCGTCAGTTTTCAGACACCTTCTTTCAGCTGGCGCCGCCTCAGGAGGCTCTGCACCAAGCCGAACCTTGGGTTTGCCGAGAGTTGTTTTTTTTACAGTACGTAAATTTCATAAGTTTCGTAAACTTCATAAGAGCAATTATTTTATGAAGCCCAGAGGAAGAAACAAAGAATTAACTGTGTCAGTTTGGATAGAGGAGGGTAGCGATGTTACAGCTTCAGAAGCTGCTGTTGTTTGTTGTTTTCACAAACTCTGCTCCCGATCTGTCTGTAACTTTACGAAGTTTGTAATGTTTGTTAGCAGCGTGCAGGTGATCACAGTTATTTTATGAAGCCAGAGGAAGTCACGTACAGAATAAATTGTGTCTGCTCAGATTGAGAAGGTGAGAAACAGCTTCAGAAGCCGTTGTGTTGTTTTCACAATCTCCAGTCCAGGTCAGTTCGTAACTTTAAACACCCCTAAGCTTCATAAGTGCAGTGGGTGGGGATGTCATTATATTAGTTTAAATTGATCACCAAATAATACCATTTATTTAATAATTTTTTGAGACAATTTATCCTCCAGAAAACCTTTTTTCGTCACAGGCCTACTTCACAGTCCTTTGTGCACTGGGACACAGCCATGCTGGAACAGAAAAGGGCCTTCCTGAATGTGTTGTCATAAATTTGGATCCATATTTTGTCCAACTGATCTTGGTATGCTGAAGAATTAAAACTGCTTTAGCCCAAACCCTCACTGAAACTCTTAAAATCAACAATTAACAGGTGTGGACAACCACCTTTGTCCATATACGTAAATGTATATATATATTTTTACATTTGATCACAACAAACATTCTTGAATTACACTGAAAAACAGATTTTAATGCATTYGGATCAAACCAAAATCTGTGACTCAAGTAGTTTGGCCAAGTTCAAGCCTGTTTTCTTAAAAAGGACTGTGTCAGATGAGTTTATTTTAATAAACTGCATGTTGAATGTGAGGCTTGCTACAGACCACTGCTACGTGTCACAGGAGGAAACAGAGAGGGCAGCAGCTCAAAGGAGAAGAATACACAGAGGAAAATACTGCAGGAGACCAACAGAGTCTGCCAAATCCCTGGAAACTGAGAACTACAAGTCAAAGAATTTAATCCTGTGATAGCTCAAAGCTGTTACTGACTCAATATCTGCACTAAAAGTTGTCCTCTGTTAACACCAGACACTAAATTTGGGGCSTAAGCAAGAGTTTCTATGACTTCATGATAAACTGGGTCACATTTATAAAACATGGTGCAGTGAGGGGCTGTGGCAAGACTCTGGCAGGTAGTCTGGACTCTCATATGTTCAGAGCAGGGGAAAAAAGGGGCGGGGGAAGTGAAAAGAAATTGTACCTGACTCCCTGCAGAGCCTCCAGGTCTCCTGAAAGCTTTGCGTTACGACCCTGCTCCTCCTGCAGCTGCCTCCTGAGCGCGTGCACCTCCTGCTGAGCCTCCACTTTGATGTCGTTGGCCACCACCACGGCCGTCTGGAGGTCTGCCTGAAAACGACGCCAGTCCTCTTTTTCTTCCTGACAATGTAAACACACAGATCAGAACAGGACAGATCTACACATACAGGTTTATTTATAGACTGGAATAAGAAAACAACACAGGAAGTGAGTGTGTGTGGCCTGTTTCTGGTTACCACAGTGAAAATTTGAAAGAGACAGATAAAGAAAATCATATTTTTTATTGAAGAAACTGGAGAAACATTTATATGTGCAGCACTAACTTTAAAAAGGGGGATAAATAACTTAAATTTCCTTATTTCAAAGTTTTTCTGTAAACAATGATCAGATGTACAGTATATAATAAACTTATGCCCAACATAATCTTGTTTTTCTACTGAAACTTAATGGAAAATGAGCCTTTTGATACATTGAATGAATTGTATTTTACAATGGTTGGGTGATCATTAATATCAGTTACTTTGAGACACTGGAAAACAAATAAATCTCAGAGTTTAACAACTTGTTATGTAGACCATCATGTTTGTTCTTGCTTGGTTTATTAAAACAGGATCATAAAATCCATGAGATTTCATTTTAAGTCATTTATGAATGACTAAAAAGTATTTTTTTCTACAAGTCTGACTGCAGCTCACTGAAAACCTCCTGCAGACAGGAAGAGTTGGGACGTTGATAGCAGAATCTACAGTTTGTTTCACGTTTGAAACCTGCTCATTTAAACATGTTTATTGTTGCATTTTAATCCTGCAACCCATACAAAAACATATTTTTAATTTAATTTAAATTGTTAAGATTCTTTTGTAGAAGCAGGTCAGTCAAGTACGTACACCCTCTACCTGAGCGGCCATAGTTCCATATTTGTTCAGAATGTGGTTTTATCCAAAAAGATGCAAGCTTGAAGACTCAAAGGTTTCCTGCTGCACTTCTTGTATTTATGCTGCCATCACAGAAGTGAACAGACTTGTCAAGAACACAGCTTTAACCCTGTCCCCTCTGTGGCTCTGGAGTTTGGTCCCGACTAAAGTCTGGAAGGTCATTTTTATCTTTGGTCTGAAGTTCACAATATTCATTTCTTCAAAAAAAGTAACAGTGTTTGATGTGACCGCAGCACCTGTTTCCACTCTAAGCCCCGCCCCCTCCTGCTTCCAGACCGTTCCACTCCGGTTTGACAGAGACGGGGTCACATTTTCTAGCGATGCAGAAACGTTTTGATTACAATTAAATTGAAAGAGTGAGCAACAGAAGACTTGTCCATCCAGCCTTACATGTTAAGTCAGAGTCTGACCCAGAACCAGAGTCTGAACCAGAACACGAGGAGAATAACGACGAGGAAATTGTAGTCGGTAAGTTCAAACCCTTTATGGTTCCGTCGCAGATCATTCGATGTAAAAGTTCAGAAAACGTCTTAGAAAAACAAAAGGTATTTAAAGCTAAAAATGTGGATTTTGTATAAAACCCCCTTTAAATAATGACATGAGTCTAATGAAAACAAAATAAATTGAAATTGTTATTTTGCAGTAGACTTGATATGTGAGCAAGACAGAAGCCTAAACCCTGGGAACAGAAAAACTAAAACTGAATTTGTTTATTTAATCTGAAGCTTAAACWTCAAGAAACATGCTCCATGTTTTATAGCAACAAGTGTACTTTGAATATTAATATATCATTTGAGAACTCATTAACAACTGATGCATTATTTTGTAATAATTAGTTTTCTGTTACTTTGCAGTCAGGATGAAATAAAGACACATGTACATACTTTCACCTTCTTACCTTCATCTGTCTATTCTGAGCTTTCAGCTGTCGCTCTGCTTCAGCTTTCTGCTCCTCCAGCTTTTTCACAACATCTGCAGACAACATTCAGGCATGTCAGAACTCACTCCCAAACTCTGAATCAGATCAGTCTCAAGTCTTTAACGTTTTATCACCCGCTTTATAGGGTTTGTTACGTGTAGTTAAAGCAGCACCCGACCCGACACTACAGCACTGAATACTCACTCTCCATGTCCAGGACAGCTTGGTTGGTGTGACAGTTTACAGCCCTCTGCTGCTCCACCTGGTCCTCCAGCTCAAAGATGGTCTCCTTCATTTCCTTCACCTGGTTCTCTGCTTGCATCCTAGCTTCATCCAGGGAACTCACTTGGTTAATTAGCTCCTGCTCCCTCTTCTCAGCCTGCTCCTGAATTTGCTGGCATTTGATCTGCAACTGTATAAAAATACATCAAAACAACTTAGAAACAATGTTTTATTTGGCAGTAACTGTTGGCTGTGGGTATACTACATCAGGAAACATTAACAAAATTTACTCAAAGGCAAAATGTTTGTGAACTGTGGGATCTAATCRTTGTTTAGCCATGTTTCTGATAGATATCCAGCCTATAAAATAACTAGCATGTGAGTGTTGAGTTAGATAATGTCAACGTGAGTAAATGTGTTGAGGTATTGTGAATTGTAGTGATTTTAACATGTTCTCCCTCTGCATTTGGGTTGGGAAAAATAACCCTACAAACTTGTTAAATCACCTGAAACACGAACATAAATTTGAGTATGAGGAAAAACAGAAACTGTGGATTTTAGCACACTGGTAAACAGAAATTTACAAGAGAACTTTCTTTAATCTATGTTAGGGCAAAGAGTTATAAATTAAAATAAAAAGAGAACATGTATTTTTTATTCGCTCCAGACGCTGAATAAAAAGTCAGTGTACAATTATAGATGATGTAAGAAATGACACTTTAGAGCAGAGCTCTGAGGATTAAACACTACAGCAATGATGTGGTTTCTCAGGATGCTCTCCAGCTGACGCCATGTGACTGGAACAGATTAGGACATTTGTCAGAGACGTTCTAAAGTCACCTCACTCTCACATCCATTTGGCGGAGGACAGAAGTATGACTCAGAGGTTCATGCACTTGTGAAACATTAAGCGTCAACACCGTGCCCCTGCTGTTGGCACATAAGTTGTTGTCCAACGATGATGACTTCCTAAGCTGATGGAGACACACCTCGCACTGGAACACCACCAAGCAACATGAGCCACACTGCTGTTTATGGTTATGTAGGGGAAAACCAAAGCGATTAAAAGCTTCTCCTAATTGGGTGAACATTATGTTTATGTAGTCAAATGTGTCTTGAGCTGCACTGAATAGATTAAAAAGCTCAACATGTACAGGAAATGTGGAGGACAGGTTGTTCATACTCCTCAGAGAAGGCAGGAACTGAAGTGTTGCCACTGTGATGTTCATGACGAATGCAGAAAATTTAAACGGTTAACCTGCGGGCCTAACCCTAACCCAGATTAAATGAAGTACTGCTCTTGAACCATTTGGAGTAAATTCACAAGCCTAGTCTGTTTGCAAAGCTTTCAATCTGAATTTTTTGTAACTGTAACTTGTATTTAGTTATTGAAGTCAAAATACTTCCAAATCTGTATATAAAAAAGGTAACTTTATTGACTACACAGCTGTGGTGTCAGAATGAAGCTCAGAGCCGATCGGCTGATTCTAGTCAATCACATGTACCACGTAAGGGTGGGACATGAGGGTCTTGTCACACATTTTGTGCTCTGGAGAGTCTAGATGAACCCAGTTGGTCCAAAGAGGTGTCAATCAAAAGAAGACAACCAATCAAATTGTTTGAACAGCCTATTGTGCAAATTAAAAGCCCCTGGTAGTGTGGGTCAGGCTTTAAGGAGGCAGGAAGTAACCACAAACTAGAAATATACCACAGGTGGTACATTTTAAACTTTACAAAATRTGTAAACTTGTTTCCCCAGTACCTTGGACATTGTGGCTCGCACATTCTCAGTGTCGGTCTGAGCCTGAAGAAGCTCCTGTCTCAGCTCTGTCAGCTTCACCTCCAGTTTGTCCTTCTCAGCATGAGCCATCTTCAGTAAATCCTGCAGCTCTGTGTTGTCGCTGGCACTTTGCATGGCCTTCAGCTCRCTCACTTTTTGCCTCTCAATCTCCACCTGTGCCTTAAGCCGACTGTTTTCCAGCCTGAGACAGTCCGCCGCTGCCCGGTGCTCCTCGGCGTCGTGTGATGCCTCACCTCTGCTTTCCACCTCCTGGTCCAGCTGGGTTTGCAGTTTGTCCATTTCCTCATTGAGGCAGCGCACCTGACCCTGGGTGTCCTGGTGCTCCTCCTCCAGAGCCCGCAGGCTGCCTGTCAGCTGCTGCTGGATGTCCACCAGCTTTTCCCGTTCGAACCGAGAGCTCTCCACCAGCTCGCTGTACTTCTGCTCCAGCTCGGCCAGACGAGGCCCTTGGCGGCCCAGTTCTTGCTCCCTCTGGGCCTGAGCCTGAGCTTGCTCCTGAAGCCTGACAGCAAGCGTTTCATTCTTTTGACCCAACACTTCCAGACGTTCCCGCTGCTGCTGAAGTGAGGCCTGAAGGAGGCGCTTCTCCTCGGCTAGACGCTCATTCTCGGCCGTTAGCTCCTGCACCACCTGCTGCTGGTCGGCCAGCTCCTGCAGCGTCGCCTGCAGCTCCTCTGCCGTGCTGTGATGGTTCTCCTCCATCTTGTGAATCTGTTCAGTTAGTCTTTGCACAGAGACATCCGGACCTCCTACGTTCACCGCATCGGCTGCAACGGTTTCCCCACCGACACTGCTGCATCCTGATTCTGAGCGTGACGAGATCTTCTCGAACTCTGAGGAGTCTGGTGAAGGGGACTCCTTCATCGTGTCAGAGCTGAAGGAAGCCGAGGGTTTGAGTGGGCTGGCAGCGGGATGAAGACCATCCTGTTGGGAAGCTGAGCAGTCTGAGGACACACCATTCACAAGAGTACTGGAAGAAGAGCTTTTGTTTTTATCAGAAAGAGGAGAAGCCTCCAAGCAGAGCAGCTTTCCCTTCAGGGCCTGGTTCTCATCCCTGAGGGTGGCTAGCTCTTTCTGAAACCTCCCATTCTTCTCTCTAAGCTCTCTGACCAGCACCAGGGCTTCAGYCACCTGTTCCTGCTCACAGCCAGCTGCATGCTCTTGGTGTGAAAAGGAGATGGGTGAGGGTAAAGAAGCAGGGGAGGGTTTATTCTTGCAGCGCTGCAGCTCCATCTTTAGGTTGCTGATCTCTGAGTCTTTAGCTTTGGCCTCAGCCATCAGCTGTTTCACCTGGCTCTCCAAATGGCCTCTTTCTTGGCTCTCGGTGTCTGAACGGGACTTGGTTGAACWACGAGTCTGCTTCGCTAGCATGGAGAGGCTCGAGGTGCTGGCACTGGAAACCATTCTTTTTGTAGATGAGCTCCTCAGTTGATCCCTCAGAGAAATTCGATCTCTTGTCATGGCTGAAGGGATTTCTCTTGGAGCTGGGATCCCAGACTTTTTGGCTGCTTGTGCACCTGCAACATAAAACAAAAGGACATAAATAATAAAGCAGTGACCAGATGACAGAGCAGTAGACATGCTCTGTAGTTGATATAGAAAGCARTTCTTAAAATTGTCTAATACAAAATGGAAGGTAATTAAAACTCTGATTTCCATAATGTGAAAAAATAGCAGAAATGGACAAAAAAAGGTAACTATTAAAAATGCAAGTTTGTGGAACTTCTTGATATGTGACCAAGCTGGCCAAGTTTTAGTACTGAATATTATTTTTAAATTCTCTATTCAATAAACTTCACAACAAAATGTAGTTTGTTGAATTTTGACTATTTATCACATTTTGTCAGTAAAAAAATCATTTGAACTATAAGAAAAATAAGTTTATGCCAATCACATCATTTCAACAAGTGTGAATTTATTAAGCACTTTTTAGCTACAGTGTGTGGAAACAGATAATCCTTTAGAAAACAAATGATGCAACACTTTATAAAAACTATGAAAAATGGTGTGAATTTAAAGTGGAAGAACTTTATCCTTCCATCCATTTTCTTCCTCTTATCCGGGGTCGGGTCGCGGGGGCAGCAGCCTAASCAGAGAGACCCAGACTTCCCTCTCCCCAGTCACTTGGACCAGCTCATCTGGGGGAATCCCAAGGTGTTCCCAGGCCAGCTGAGAAATGTAGTCCCTCCAGCGTGTCCTGGGTCTTCCTCTGGGTCTCCTCCCTGTGGGACGTGCCCAGAACACCTCACCAGTCCAGGAGGCATCCCAACCAGATGAACCACCTCAACTGGCTCCTCTCGATGTGGAGGAGCAGCGGCTCTACTGTGAGTCCCTCCTGGATGACTGAACTTCTCACCCTATCTCTAAGGGAGAGCTCAGACACCCTGCAGAGGAAACTCATTTCAGCTGCTTGTATCTGCAATTTTGTTCTTTCGGTCACTGCCCAAAGCTCGTGACCATAGATGAGGGTAGGAACGTAGACTGACCGGAAAACCGAGACGTTCACCTTCTGGCTCAGCTCTCGCTTCACCACGACAGACCGGTACAGCGCCCGCATCACTGCAGAYSCAGCACCATCTGCCTATCAATCTTCTTCTCCATTCTTCCCTCATTCGTGAACAAGACCCCGAGATACTTAAACTCCTCCACTTGGGGCAGGACCTCCTCCCCGACCCAGAGACGGCACCCTATTCAACTCAAGACCATGGTCTTGGATTTGGAGGCACTGATCCTCATCCCGGCCTCTTCACACTCGGCTGTGAACCGCTCCAGTGAGAGCAGGAGATCAGGATCTGATAAAGCCAGAAATGAGTCCGACTTACTACCAGCAATGTGGACCAAGCTCCGGCACCGGTCATACAGGGACCTAACAGCCCATAACAATGGGCCTGGTACGCCATACTCCCAGAGTACCCCCAACAGGAGTCCCTGAGGGACACGGTCGAACGCCTTCTCCAAGTTTACAAAACACATGTAGACTGGTTGGGCGAACTCCCATGCACYCTCCAGGACCCTGCTGGAYGAACTTTAATTTAACAAAATCTTTATTTTTTGTTTTACTCTCGTGTAAAACATACGTTAGGAATATTTTCTTGTACTGGATTGTTTTATTTTGTATCATTTAAATGTGACTTTCAGGTAGATTTTTTTAAAACTTCAGTGAAAAATTAAATGTGCTGTTGAAATGAAACTCTTTTGGATTTTTTAACATGTCAATATTCATTAAAATTGGAATGTTTTCTCATTGAATTGCTAAAATAATTGCTAAATAATTTGTGTGCTTGTGTAATATTGGTAATTAT